GGGACCTCCGAAGGTCTTGATTGTTTCATCCTTCATACCCCACCCTACCCCACACCCACCCCTGAGCCCCTCCCCTCCGTGATGGGACTTGAGTGTCTGAGCCCCTTTCCTGCACTAGCTTTGATGTAGTGTGGTGTACTAATCTCCCTATAGGTAGCTCTGGTGGCCTAGTGGCAAGAAGCTGTGCTGTAACCCCAAAGGCATGTGACTCAAGACCACCAGATACTCTGCAGGAGAAAGATGGGCAGTCTCCCGTGTGGTTAACTGCCTCTGAAAACCCGCTGGAGTATCAGCTGTGCATCAATTCTGACTCTGTGGTACACAACCACAGTGTCCCTATAGTGGTATAATATTTAAGTATACAACTACTAACTGAAAGGCAGGCATTTGCAACATACTAGCCGTACTTCTGGAGAAAAGACCTAGCAATCTTCTCCCATAAATTAGTCTTGTTAATGGCATCGAGTTGGAACTGACTCATAGCTCACCCTCTGCTCATTTTCAGAGGCTGTAAATTGCACAGGAGATTGCCTTTCTTTCTCTTGCAGAGCAGCTGGTAAATTCTAACTGCATACCTTTGTGCTGGCACCGCAGTTCCTTACCACTAAGCCACCAGAGCTCCTTCCATAAAGATTAGAGCTTTGGAAACCATGTGTGGTAGTTCATGGTTTGGAATTGACTGGATGGTGTGGAACAGCAACAGCAAAGCTTCCAAGTCTTTGATTTCTTTAAAATAAGAAGCATGGCCTATTCTAGCCTTTTTAGTTCTCTGAAAGGTGTCACAGCACCATAGCTGTAGTTTGAATAATATCAGATGTTTTGTTATTAGGCTAGAGTTCAGGTTATGGAGACATGTGGAACTGTTTGGGCAAATAATAAAGGGTACATTTAGTTCCCTTTTCTTGGACACATGAAGTAATAGATTCATTGGAATATGATACCTTCCTCCACCCACTTCCATCAATTCAGAGTGAATTTTTTTTCTCCTTCCAATTCTCCATCGTGTTTATCAACTTTAAAGGGAAATTTTAAGTCAAACTGTAGTCAGAAGAGCAAGCAAAGAACTGAGGTGGTTAGAGGAAAATTCCTTTGTGAAATTGAAAATTGGTATACCTGGAGTTTTTTTCAATGAATTTTCTTTACCTGTAGTTTATTGTGGTTTCCTTGAGTTTTTAGTCTTCTTTGATTTGAAACATTAAAAATAGCATATACAATTACATTCTGAAAAGTTTCTTGATACTGACCTGAGCAAGTAAAGTGGTCTTGCTTCTTCTGGATATTTTCGTTATCTGAGTTCCCAAAGACTTGTGACTTAAATGTATAAACAGTAATCAGCTAGTGAGTCGTCTGTTTGCTTAACCTCAAAACAATTTCGTTTTAGCTGAATGAAAGCCTCTTGAAATGTTCTCATATTTCATTAGGTAACTTTCTGTGGTGTGAATACTATTTCTAGATTAATTTCTAGTGTAAGATTTACTGGCATTTAATTAGTATTGAGACCATAGATAAATAATTTTGCCTCTTTATACCTCAGTTTCCCTAACTGCATCTTGGGAGACCAAAATAAAATACTATCTGAAGTGAAATGAACATGAGTATTTTTTACAAGCCTTTGGATGATTGTAATTGCAGCCGAGGCTGAGAGCAACAGCTATAAAATACGATGTGAAGGCTGGGAGATGGAGTTTATCTGGATACGTATTTTTGGGAAGAAAGGAGACATGATAATTTAGGTGCTAACATCTTTTAAATTTAGTATTTCTAAGCACTGGGTGGTTGTCTCTGGGCCTCATGAAAATACGGACGACTGTTGTTGCAGTCAGCTTGCATTGCCTACTGGGGTTGGGGAAATCCTGGGTTTGTGTGGAATTTTCCATGACTCTTAGCTCTGCACCATTTGTGTTCACTGCAGTCACAGAGCGTTTCAATTTATCTGCCTGAGCTAGACTCTCTCTCTCTCTCTCTCTCTCTCTCTCTCTCTCTCTCTCTCTGTTTCTCTCTATATATATATATATATATATATATATATATACACATATATATATATACTCAGCTAGATAATTGGATCTTAGCTACAAATCTTAGTTTGTATGTGTGTTTAATATTCTAGTTCTGTGGACAAATCAGAGAATCTTATCTGAATTCTTGTTTATAAAATGAGTCAGCTTGAGGTATCTATTTTGGCCTGATTTCCTCAGGTGTCATGTTTCCTGTCACAGTACCACTTGTGGTTTGGGGGGGTGGGGTGGGGGAGAGAGTGAGTGAGTGAGAGTGTGTGTGTGTGTGTGTGTGTGTGTTTCTGAAGGGATAGAATTGGCATGTGCTTTTTTTTTTACGGCACAAGTTTTCTGGTGTGGGGTTGGCTGCTTCTCCAGGAATTTTGTTCACTGGTGATCAGAATCAATTGTTTGATCTTTCAGTTGGAAAAGTTACTACTGTAAAAATGATAGCAAATGATAGCAAATGGAAGAAAAGTGATCCAATCAACTAGTTACTTGATTTGGTTTCGACAGTTTTCTTTATTTTTTTTTGTAGGGAAATTTAAAGTCCTGTAATTTTAAGAAAGCACTTTTATCAATATACCTCCTTTTCCTTAGAGAGCAATTCCCTATATATTCAATGCAGAAAAGATGTCAGTATTTAATTATTTTACTGAGACTCATTCTCCCTGATCAGTAAGTAGACATTTGCCTTATGTATTCCCTCTCTCTTCCTTGCAAAACTGAGAGCAGTTAGTTCTAGTCAATTTTGAAGAGTTCTGATCAGCTAATATATATTGAAAGTACTGTTTATTCAGTTTCATTGAGGTTTCTGTACATTGAAACAGAAGATCTTCCTAGTGCATATTCTCTTTGATTAAGGTGTCCGCTCATTGGAGCAGATCATTAGAGAGACATTCTGTAACCAGTCTAAAGTAGTGCCTGCTCTTCCCCATCATCCTCTGCCCTTCCCCTCTGCTTTGTTTCCTTTTATAGCACTTTTCTTTACCCACCAATGTTTTGTCTTGTAATCTGTGTGTGAGCAGTGATGTTTCATCTTCTCCACTGTGTCCTAGGGGTTTGGAATCTAGTAGGTACTGAGTAAATATTTGTTAATTAAAACATGGAAAGTTTAATGGCTGGACAGCTGCATGCTGTCTTTTGTTCTTGGTTTTGGCCTGTTTCAGTGATTCTCAGATTTCAGTGGGCATAAGAACTGCAGTAAACCAAAACCCATTGCCATCAAGTTGATTGCACTCATATTGACCCTAAAAGAATTGAGTAGAACTGCCCCATAGCGTATCCAAGGGTGCATCTTTAGCACTACAGACTGCCACAACTTCCTCTGGAGGAGTGGTTAGTAGGCAAACTTCTAACCATTTGCTTAACAACTTAATGCTTAATTATTTGGAACTTCGTGAGCGTGTACAAAAATTTGAGATTCCTAGGTGGTACAGATGGTATGTACTCAGCAGCTAAGTTAAATGCTGGAAGTTTTCACTTACCCTGAAATACCACTGAAGAAAGAAATGTCTTTGTTAAGACCACAGCCAACTGTGGAGCAGTTCTTCTCCGTAACACAGTGTATCACCATGAGTTGGAATCAACACAGTTGACAGTAAAAATATACAAAAATTTGAAAGCTAATTTTGCCTGTGTGGAATTTTAAATTTCTAAGCATAGGAGATAAAGCATAACTGCACTCGCTCTATAATTAGTCCATAATAGGATTAGTTACTTGGGTTCCAAAGTAGGCAGAAGACATTAAATAAATATCTTGTTTCAGCTCCACTAGTGTTCAGAAGATGTTACATGTTTCAGTGGTGATGGTGGTTGGAGAAAGGGCTTCTGATTTTATAGTCTAATGGGAAGATAATGGACTAAAAATTAACTTTCGTTATGTTGATAAATATTGCCGAAGATCAAGGAATGCAGCCTTCAATCTGGATTGCATCTCGTTGTCAAGAAAACAAAGATTCTTCCCATTTGGGCTGGTAGGCAACATCATGATGGATGGAGAAAGAGATTGAAACTGTTAGCAACTTCACCTATTACCAGCAGTCAGAAAATAAAGAGGTGTATTGCGTTGGGAAAGTTTGCAGTTAGGGACCTCTCCAAATTATTGAAGAGTAATGATGTCAGTTTGGAGACTAAATCGTGTCTGACTCAGGCCATAGTCTTTTCGATCACTTGCTGTGCATCTGAGAGCTGGACAGTGAATATGGATGACAGAAGAATTGATGCCTTAGAGCAGTGGTGTTGGAGAAGAGCACTGAACATTACATGGACGGCCAGGAGACATAACGGCCAGGAGTTATGTCTTAGAGATGGTGCAGCTTGAGTGCTCTTTGGAGGCAAGAATGGTGAGGCTTCACCTCACATACTTGCTAGGAGGGGCTATTCCTTGTAGAAGGACATGATGCTGGGAAGGGTAGAGGATCAGCAAAGGAGAGGAAGACCCTCGACCAGGTCGATTGATGCAGTGACTGCTGCAGTCGGCTGTTGTGTGTCAGGAAGGATAGAACAGGGTTCAGATCTGTTGTTCCTAAGTTCGCTGTAAGTTGTACTCACCTCAACAGCACCTAACAACATATTCGTAAAATTGGGTTGTGGGCCTCAGCATTTGGAGAATGGTTTATAGACGTATTTCTTGAGCTTGAAAATTAAAATGGTGATGAGTTGAGATTATGTAAAAATATATTGAGATAAAGGCATCATATAAATTCAGAATATCTTCACTGCTTGGAAAGGAGATTAAGGTGAAAAAATATCACTTTGTTTTGATATTTGTGAATAACCCTGTAAATGAAGATGGGGAATGTTCTATAGAATGAATCCTTATAAGACATTCTCCATTGGCATTGTATGTTTGATAACGTTTGAGCATATTAAAGGGGTTTGATGTGACCAGAATAAATTTGACTTTATTTTGCCGAAGTACATTTTTCATCCTAATTGCAAATGATCAAGTTCTAGCTTGATTTCAACACTTAATGTTATTTTTCTCCCCCATTCTTTTAGTTGGCTGATTGCAATTCTGGCCCAGCTCAACCCTCTCTTTGGACCACAGTTGAAAAATGACACCATCTGGTATCTCAAGTATCACTGGCCTTGAAGAAGACGTTGTGCTTCGCAGTGCTGTCATTGAGGTAAATGCAAGTCTTGACCTTTCAGTTTTTTCAGTTAGCTAGAATTTGCCTTGACTTTGACTTAGAATTCTACAACCATTTTAACAAATGCTACTGAAAGCAGGTATGATGAACAGCAGACATAAATGAGGAATTTAGGCCAAGGGTTACCCATGAGATTCTCTTCAGCATTTCTGTTACACAAAATCAAGTTTGTGTGAAGTCTTTCAGACACAGATCAGAAAAATGACTGTTTATACTTGTCATTCTGAGTTCTGGGAGCTCTAAATGGCTGGTAGATTGAAAATTAAGAATATTTTTAAATACTTTGGCTAGAAAAAGGGAGACAGATGCTTTCTGAAAATTGGTCTTAAAAGTTGCAGTTTTCGTTTGCCTCCGAGGATCTTCAGATTGTGGTGTAGTGGAAGGATTTTTTCATTGGCTTAGAACCAGAAAAACCTGCCTTTTCATTTGATCCCCTGATTCTGTAATGCCACTAAAATGGAAGTTAGTGATGAATGCGTGATTCAATTCAGCAGTTTTGGTGCAGGTACTCCTTGGAGAGTGCTGGATACTGTGATTGCCTCCCGTCAGGGGTGCACAATGTCTGCCTGGCTGTTCTAGTGATGCTGCAGTGGTCAGTGTGTTCTGGTGTTGACAGCTTTGTCTCCAATTATAAATTCTTTCCACCTCTCATCCTGTGAGTTTTACCCACTGATAATCATAGCCTCAATCAGTCACTTCAGTGTTGTTGTTGTTATGTGCCGTCGAGTCGCCTGTGACTCATAGCGACCCTACGTACAACAGCCCTAAACTCCGTTCTGTCCTGTGCCAATCGCACTGTCTCTGACACTCCCATCCCAATTATCCCAGTC